CGTAAGCCCCCCCCGTAGCCGCTTCTATGGTCCTGCCACGAATGGCGGAGGGCACAGACAATTAGAGAACGGCGCCTGGCTCGGCTCCAAATCCCAAGGAAGGAGGTGAGAGCCCTAGGACTAAGCCTTGTAGGAGGGAGGGACTTCGAGGTGGGTGAGCCAACTACAGTGTGGCAAAAGTTTGAATGTGTGAGATCACAGTGGTCATGAGCCGCTGATAAGGTGAGAGAGCGCAGACGAGAGCATCGAATTGAGGCGGCTTAGACCGAGTTCAAGTATCCTCGTTTATATCCTAGTTCAAGTACCGTTGATTCCCGTAGCCCCCTAAACTGGAAGGACTCGCGCGCCTGCAAAGATCTTGAAATGACCCCACAATTATTCGTGTTCACCCACGGCAAAGCTTGTTCTACAACAAACAGCCAAAGCCAAAAGCAAAACGAAGGAGGAACAGGCGTGAGGTGCTTCTACTGGCAGAGCACTGAAACAGCCAAAGAGCGCCAGGCGCCATCGAAAACATGACCGATGAGAGACGAAAGTTCCGATCGATCGGCGCACTGCTGGCAAAGCAGTTGCGGTTTTTCGTGCGACGAGCAGAATTACCAATCCCTGCCAGCACCTATAATCTCTTGTTCAGTGGATTAAGGCACCATCGAACGAAAATATCCAAATCATTTTATGCATTTTCGCTCGATGATGTTTAAATCGTGGAACGAAAGGTTATAGGCGCTGACAGCGGTTCGCTCTTTTAAACTGCAGTTCTAACAGTGAACAACGAAATGATCAAATGCAAAGCCGAGAAGCGGCTCCAAGGACAAACGCTCAGCAAAACAAACATGAATGGTTCATGACCAAACACCATGCATCCCTGATTGTATCATATCAATTCGCACTCGTACTTTACAACAGTCAGCTCAACTTTCTGAATGAAAAAAAAATAGAAAAAAAACGTGCACTTGCATTGTTTTGTCTGCAAAGAAAAGATGGGGACACTGCGACGCTCCACTGTTAATTGAAGCACTGTTTTCCCTGAGGGGTCGCGCTCTAACTGTCTGGCAGATAGAAGCCTGAGGAGGGGGATGCATCCCCTGGGGGAGGATTGAATACGGCCCCATTCCCACTCATGATCAGCGATGAACCTGAAGTTTCTGCAGCAAAAAATGTTTCACGCCGCGAAACGCGAAAAAGTTGCTTTCCGTCCCAAGGCTAGTGTCAGAGTCCGATCCGTCGCAGGCTTCGCTGATTTTCGCGATTTGCGCGAAACCTGCGACGGATCGCAAAAAGGTGTTAAGTGTGTTGGGGGGACCACGCGGCGGCGCGGCACTCTGCTCGCCTGGCACTTCGGAAATCCGTGAGCCAGGGGGAGTGTAGGCAGTCTAGGGGGTGGGGGCAGTCACTTGACATGCGTGAAAAGCTGGAATGTTCGAGTTTACACTGTCTCGCTCGAGAGAGCCCAGGTGAGCAGACTGCCGCGCCGCCGCGTGGCCCCCCCCCAACCCAAGTTAGCACCCGCAAAAATTGCAAGTGTGTGAACACTGAATATGAAACAAGTGGAATCATGAGCAGTCGTCATTCAGCCATCACTATCAAGCAGAAGTGGCGGCAGGATTGGAGAACACCTTGCAGTATTGATCGGGCACTTGTGATTTCCGTGACCCGTCGCGTGAATCGCGCAAATCGCGAAAAAATCAGCGAAACCTGCGACGGATCGCGGACTCTGACACCAGCTTAACGAACCACACCCGTGAACATTTTGAGCCGGCAAGCGGACGTTGATCCTGATTCAGAACCCCGCCAAACACTTTTATTGTCACACTTAACCTCCCCTTCAAAAAGCAAAGTGTCGGGTGCAGACCATACACCACAAGTGACGACGGCCTCCAGAAAATGAAATGTTTTTTGCCAATGAAATGATTAACCTGTTACAGTTGTATTCGATCAGTTGACAGTAATTATCTATCAATGATATCCACTGCTTTGCGAAGATTCCTTTTTCAGCTATTTAACATTTTCCGCATCCACTAATTCAAAGGTAGAGGAACTTTAGACGTCAGCCCCGGGTTGGTTTCACATCGAAAGTGCGTTCTACAATTTCGATGTTTACGTGGCTCGTCAATGGTCCGCACGTTGGATTACCTCTGATCAATCATCGCACGCTCGTCTTGAGCTACTGTGACTGGATCAGCCCCTCGACAAGACCGTTCGGTGTACCTCACTGTACACCGCTTGGTAATGCATTCATGGAAGATCTCAGGAGTTCGGCTGATAAAATTCCCATCGTTTTAGTCTTGTGGAATGAAATATGCAACAACAAGGCACATATTAAAAATATGATCAGGTTCAAACAAAAAATGGAGATGTGGTTCTACATTAGGAGCATTAATGAACAAATACCATTAAGAAAGAAATACTTCCATCAGGAGCGATACAAATATTACGACTACGCGCCTGATCACACTTCCCTAAATCTTCTGCTGAAGCCTGATGAGAAATAAAAATTTATATAGTTTAGTGCTATAACAAAGAATGCAATAACTAAAAAATCTGGGACCATATCACTTCCAACTTGATGTCCTTTGGATCACTTAGTGCGTATGAACACCCTTCTTTTGATATCAAATCGCTTGTCAGGATACCTACAAAACAACGTTTTTAAGCAAATAACCGTTCTCGTTCCACCTCAGGAACAAATTGAACTTCGAATGCAAAGAAAGAGTGGCAGAAAATGAAGCCTCACCTATCCATTCGGCGTGCTATTTCACTGTCCCACGGCATATCTTTTTCGGGTGGACTGTAGTCGAAAGTCTTCAATGAAAAATGTTGAGAAACCAAATAGAATTCGCAAACTTTTGGCTTTTTTTCAGCAAAACTACCTGATCTTCGTAGTCGAACCAGTCAGATTTTGGCTTAAATTGTCGAAGAAGACGCTTGTTGCGTAGTCCGAGAACGCGGCCACCACTTCCAGGGAACGCTGTTACCCCTTAAATATGGATGCATAAATCTCTGCAGATGAGATGTAATAACAAGTAATATAAACATGAACTTTTGCTAAATCAGTAAAAGAACAGAACTTGTGGCGTAACAGGTATCCCTCCCTTAACAACAAACAATACTTGCCTTTGTTTTCGGTGCGCTGGTCTTTCTGTCCAGTCCTACTTTATAGGAGTAAGGGTGATATGGGTATGATAGCAGAAAAGGAGATGGGAAAAGGAAGTCAACTGTCCTGCGGTGACAATCTACTGTGGCTCTATAACTGTGATGGAAGAGAAAATCCCGCCAGGATATGAAGAGGGAATCAGTGATCAATAATCAACACAAGAAAAGAAGTGAAATCGCATTTCACTTCCCGAAAAAAGCTAAGAGAAAGGAATCGCAGAGAAATTTTGCAAACTATTTCCCAACTTTCGTACAAGCCTATTAATCGTCCCCAGGGTCAGCGGGGTCGACGGACTACTTGAACTCAGCCCTTTAAACCTCCTCTGCGCTCTCTGGTGGGTCCCTCTCCTATTCAGAGCTTAGTACTAGGGTATTCAACCGTTCTCTAATCGTCTGTGCCCTAGGAGTGTGGTTCACTAGGACAGAAAGCGACTTTTTCGCGTTTCGCAGCGCGAAACATTTTTCGCTGCGGGAACCTCAGGTCCACCGCTGATCATTAGTGGACCCGAGGTTCCCGCAGCGAAATCATCAGTGGACCCGAGATTCCTGCAGCGGCGAACAATGTTTCGCACGCGCGAACGCGAAAGTCGCTTTTCTGTCATAGTTGACACACCTGCTTCTTAGCAGTTTGCGGCAGGACATTGAGGAAAAATCAGAGTATGTCGATTAAAGCCTGTCGTCTTAGGCCAATAGTGATAGAATACAAGGTTTCACACAGATGTGGTAAAAAAAATTCCAGGGTCAGTGGGAGGTGCGTATTATGGTGCGATAGCGGACCTGCATATGTAGATGCAGCCTTTAGTTCGGCTACGTTTAGGGAGATTAGTGTTGTGTTGAGGTCTCTCTTGAAGGGGGGGTGAAAAATAAATGATATTGAATATAATTGCGCAAATGCTCGGGGTTGACTCGCCTCTCTGTGGAGAAATCACACGGTAGAATAAAAATATATGATGGAACAGCGTGTAACCCGGTAGCGGTTGTGATATATGTGTGTTTCACACAGAAGACACCTCCCTTTTGTAAATACTCTCATCAGGGACCCTGATTGTTTTTATATCTCAGTGCTCAATTGGGTACCCCAAGCTTGCAACGCTTGAATATTGCTCTAGTCCTCATTCGTACGCTATATATTCTTGTATGCTTTTGGCTCGATCAAATTGGTCAATTTTGATGCGTTGCGTCCTTGGCATACACGTGGTAATTGTTTATATGGTTTAGCCATTTGATGATCAATATATGACTATGGAGACTGTTGGGAGTGATAGACGTTAGATAAGTATTCAAGATCTCAGATTTGGAGCCATAGCGAAACGATACGGCAAATTTGCCAATCCATTCTTTATCCTGTTCTCCAGTGTCATTATTACGTTTTTCTAAATTTTCCCGTACTTTTATACAGCTCCCGTTTAAGTGAAATCGTTGTCACTCATTTTATTCAGTGATCGGGAAACAACAAGACCGAGAACTTCAAGTAAATAAATAAGTTCAGTGGTTTCACCCTCCCACAAAAGTTTGACACCAACTAACCAACCCATAATGGACGGACGGTCAGATCGACTTCGACAGGAATTTCCAGGATTACGTAAACCATATACCTATCATCACATACCCCATATCAATTTAATGTTCCTTTGCAAAACAAGAAAGCTTCGTTATGATTCAAAATGTCGAGACCTATGACAACCCAAAACAACCTTGAAGAGCCATTGTGATTAGCACCACCGAATCGAAAGATAATAGCATTTAAAAATCACTCACAAATCATTCTCAAAATTACTTGAAAACTTTGATTAGAGGCCAGAAACGGTAAGACTTACCTCCATGCCACGCCTCTATATCTTCAGGATGGAATCTACTCGCATGCTCCATCATGTACACGTTGGCGGGTTTAGATTGCATTCGAGAAAGTCTAGGAGAGATAATTAGTAATGAACGCGGAAATAGCTAGGTAGTGAAATATTTAGTGTGACTTTTTGGATTTTTTGGACCCAATTACCATGGGGAATCAATATTCAAAGCAGTTTTTTGTAGCTTATTAGCTTTACATATTGCTTATTATTTACAATTGCTGATTTACATATTCTCTCTAGTGCACAAATTCACATGTGCCTACTAAATGACTTCAAAATCTGCCTGAAGGCAACAGAATCCCAGCTGGACTAACATGGGACGAAAGACATGTATTTCCATTTGGGCTGCTCAGACTATTGAAAAGATTTTGGAAAGCAGCCTGAAAGAAAGGTCTGCACTAATCGGAAAGGGGGCCTACACAGTTGGTCTAGTCATCTGTAGCAAAATTGCGCTGAAATGGTGCAACAATTTGGATATGATTGATCGACAGAGACCGTCGTCAAACTTGTTACTTACACAAATGGATTTCAATGAATGCCTTATTCTCTCAACTACGTCTTCAGAAAAAGAAAGAAATTCGGGATCCTCAGGTTCTCCAATAATCAGGAGGCCGGATTCAATCCTCCCCAAAAGGATTGGGGAACGAAAATCCCTTTAAATTTATTTGTTTTTAACGATATAGTTTCTTCATTTTCAATGCATGTTACTTGACCTACATACATACATTAATGTAGGCCCTTTATCAGGACAATCCCAGTTGGGAATACAGAGAAAATTTTACAGGGATTTTCGTCCTTGGGAAAGGATTGAATCCTGCCCCAGAAGTGAACCTGAGGTTCCCGCAGCGAAGAATGTTTCGCGCGCAAAGCGGAAAATTCGCTTTCTGTCCTAATAAACCACACAACTGTTCAACTCCATGAGGAAAACGACACTAACGATGAATGTTTCAGTACCTAATTGCAATGGCATGCATGAGAAACTCACTTCGTATAACTCGTTACATTTGCAACCGGCTCCTCATAAAAATCTATAAGATCTTGAACCGATTTCAAGTGCATAAGTCTATAGGAATTTGTTACGAGGGCAATGTTTAAACTTCTCAGCGAGAGCCAAGATGACCTGAAAAGGCATAATTCCCAAAGATCAGCTAAGGAAAAAAAGAACTTTAGTGACACAAAAGGTGAAAAAAGTGAGGCGAAAAGGCGATGTACAAAAGTATTCCCTATCGACCCGAATGAGCATTGTAGACAACGAAGTGTAAGCAACATGAGAACCGTGTGAAAAAAAAAGCAAAAAGTAAAGCAATGGAATGGTCCGACACCACTTATTTTTACATCATTATCCTTCAGGTGACACTGAGATATGTCTTTGGCATCTTCACCTTTCTCTAACAAGCATTGTTTTGCTAAAGATATTACAGCATCCTTGACTCCACTGGGTGGATTATAGTTGTAGCGATACTTAAGAACCTTAAAATACTTCTTCACGAAGAAGCAGTTCCAGCAGGAATTTTAGCGGCAAACTCACCACGTGCCCTGATGGAATCTGCATCTATTCGATAGTCTAGGATCGAATCAGTGTCATAGCTTTCAGCCTCCACCTGAGATCTCGATCTCGGTGAATCAGTTCGTACAGTGGGAAGTATCCGTCTCAGTTTCTCCTTAAAACTAACAGAGCATTATTGTCCAATAATTACTAAATTTTTACGTGATCTAAACACTTGCTTTCTCCACCTTCAACACACCTTTCTTAATGGCCTGCTTTACAACTAAAGAGACAGGTCAACTTCGATAGAGTGGCGTTACCCAAATCCAGCGCAAAACATTTTCACTGTTTTTTCTTTCAACTATGACTACTACAAAAGAGTTGTTTGGAAGGAAGAATATGGCCTTTCTACACAGATTATATATACAAGCATTTGTCGAGTGACGGCCGAGCGATAGGCGATCGCAATCACAGAGCGATCGCACAATCGCCGAGTCTGACGCGCACTCAAAACGCAGCCTAGTTCTTTTAACAAAAGGAAGGACCTTGCTTAGATAAAATGGTGTAGTTGGGCGATGGTTTTGCTTTCTCTATGAAACTATATAAGACACTACCTGCTCTTGTTCTGTAAGTTTTGTAGCTTCAGATTCCTTCACAGATTTCGATCTGCCAAACAGGGAGGACAGGAGCGTCCTAGCGCGCACGTAGCTAAAACCCGACGATCTCATCACCTGCAACAATGACCTATACGACAACCTACATAGGGAGGCGGTCATATGGCGCGATCCAATTGGCGTTAGAGCGCACAGTATCCAGGACAACTCGTCCGTATCACTCAACTACTTGGCTTCAGTAATTGATCGATCTGATAATTTGGTCTCGAAAATCTCGCTGAGTCCCAGAGGTCTAAAAAAGAGCGAATAGCTTCGCTGTCCTGATGCCAAGGCTAGAGGAATGGAACAGAATGTGTTGCGCGGACGAGTTGTCCGGCTACTGCAGGATGCGGTAATTACGGCCCTTTGCGCTCCAAATGCAATGGCCGGACGCATAGTCGGTCGGACGACAGCAACGACTGCTGCTGTCGGACGACAGCAACGACTGCAGGTGTCGCATAAACCGCGGTCGCAAATGGAAGGCGACGCGGTCACCCAATGCAAACCCAGACAACACGTGACTGCGCGTGATCGTATTTCGAAAGTCCCACTGTAGTGTGGAATAGTAGCTGCGTATTGATCTGCGACACTTACGATCGTTGCTGTCGTCGACAGCAGCAGTCGGAGATCGATTTTACGCCACCCAATCGCTAGTTGAGACACTTGCAGTCGTTCTTGAGTTACTGTTATCAGATTCGCTAACTATAAAGGATATCTGCAAGATCAATTTATCACCGGCACCACTCCCCGAAAAGAGAACTAATAGTAAAGAAATATTAGCGCCGCATCCGCGTAAGCGGGAGGGAGGCATTGTGATGCAACGTCAAGTGGCTGCCCTCACCCCCCTGGGACTGCCTTCACTCCCCCTGGCTCACGGGGTCCCGTACTTCGAGAAACCTGTGCGCCAGGGGGAGTGTAGGCAGTCTAGGGGGTGGGGGGTGAGGGCAGCCACTTGATGTCCCCCTTACTGGATGAGCGCCAAAATTCACCCTGACATGGACTCTCAGCGATCTGGTATTATCGCCAGAAACCACGAAAGAAGGAATTCTTCTTTGAGGCCTGCGCAACAATTCAAACATGACGAATATGCGACGATATGAAGTATGATATTTACATATGAAGAACATCAATTATGTTTAGTGCTGATTCCTTAGAAATAGTAACATTTTTTATTAAAGCCTAGAAAGGAGAAGTCACTAGCCGTTGATAAATCGCTTTTAGAATACGTCAAGCGTTCGACTTCCATTCAGAATCGCAGTGGCGTTTTGAATGGCCGATGTCAGACTTTGCGATTGGAGCGATTTGGTCAAGATGGGAGTAATGTGAATGCTGGACGGCGACCGAACTTTTAATCACAGGACCGTGCTATGGTACGCAGCCCTTTTGCAACTATTCTATTCTTCCTCCTCATCACACTGTAAGAAGAAAAGGGTGACAGGCTTCTAAATGCAAAATTCAAACTGCGGAAAAATACTTCAGAAAATGGAACCGTATTACAAGACTATCCCATCACAAGCGGATATGATTAGACGCCTGTTTCCACTCTACAGCATCCTAGTCATGATTAGATGCAAAACTATTTGAATCAGAAGCTTTGCCGAAGGTGAGACCCGCCTCACCACGCCAACCTCAATGTTTTTATTTGTTGTCTGACGCCTAATATTGTGTGGTGTACGCAAGTTGCATGTCCACACTAGAGGAGACGTCTTTTTCTTTCTGTGCTTTGAATAGGTTTCATGGGTGTCTCCTTTATGTAAGTTATGGAGCAACGGGAACCGTGAATTCAGATAAAACTCACTGCGCTCTCACCTCGCAGGGGGGAGCATTCAAAACAGGACCAACGGTAGGTTACATTAGGACTTAGCCCTGGAGAGCGGGGAAGCCCCAGCGAGAAGATTTTGTCCACCCCTCCTCCAGAATCCTCTTCCATACTCGGGACTTGGTCCCAAGTACTCTAATGGATTACTCGCTCTGTCTTTCTCTCCCCCCCCTCCCCTCGCCAACGGTATGAGCGCTGAATTCGCTTTTTCTTGAGGTTCAAGCCTTGCTTCGACAAGGTGTTTTCCTCGACATCACTACAGGTAACAGACAGTCGTTGCCACATGTTCTGAATGCTACATATCGAGTAACGCTGCCGCTAGGGTCGTCACGGACCTCTGACCTAATAGCTCTTGCT